AAGCTGTTTCTACAGAGGGGTCTAATTTATCTAAGGAGCCCCTTATCCAACACACTTACTCCAGATTCACATTTTTACAGCGTTTTTTGAAGAAATGGTTTCACAGTTGGTATTTAATATGAGCACCTCAAGCATCTCATTTTTCCACAGATGACTCAATAAAATAGCTTCTGTTTAAGCAGGTGTTGATTTTCTCATGACCATTTATTATAGATTTTCTTGAGTGTTATTAATTTTACTTATTATTAAAATTAAATAAAAGCAAGTAGTAATGACTTACTAATTATATTTAACTTGTTATATTGGAGGGGAGGCAGAGGGGCAGCTCCAATCTCTGCTCTCTGTGAGCAGTGACAGGACCTGAGGGAATGGCTGGAGCTGTGTCAGGGCAGGCTGCAGGTTGGATCTCAGGGAAAGGTTCTTCCCCCAGAGGGTGGTTGGGCACTGAACAGGCTCCCCAGAGCAGTGGGCACAGCCCCAAACCTGCCAGAGCTCAAGAAGTGTTTGGACAATGCTCTCATGCACAGGGTGGAATTTTTGGGGTTGTCCTGTGCAGGGTCAGGAGTTGGGCTCGATCTTTGTGTGCTCCTTTCAGCCCAGGATATTCTGTGATTTATGACTCCATGTATGGAAAACAGCATTTATTATCAGTCAGAAAGAACGAGACATAACTATGTTGTTAAAAAGTAAATTTAAAAGCAAGGTAATGTTTCCACTTAAAAGCCTAAACCAACCAAACCTGAAAGGCACTTTCAATTCTTTAAAATCACTGAGAGACAAAGCTCCTTAGATCGCTCCAGTCATGACCTGCCCCTCGTTTGCAGGGTTCTTCCGACGCAGCATCACCAAGAACGCCGTGTACCGATGCAAGAACGGAGGGCACTGCGAGATGGACATGTACATGAGGAGGAAGTGTCAGGAATGTCGCCTGAAGAAGTGCAAAGCTGTGGGAATGCTGGCAGAATGTAAGTGCTCCACCCGTGCTGCCTGCTGCACTAATCAACTTGGACAAAGCCTTTCCCAAAGTAAATCCCTTCTCATTAAATGACATCGGTCTAAACTTTACCTTACGGGTGACGCCTCCTGACTCGACCCATCTCTAATAAAGAAGATGATTTCAAATCATAATTAATTCAAAATATACATATTTATGGTCACTTACATGCCTTGCAGGTTTGCTGACTGAAGTCCAGTGCAAGTCAAAGCGACTCAGGAAGAATTTCAAGCAGAAGAGCAGTTTCCTTTGCAACATAAAGCTGGAAGATGAGGGACTGAACAGTAAGCATGTATCATCTACAACAAGATCTGGAAAAGTGGGATATTCTTCTATTTAAAATACCTCTTTTTATCATTTATCTTTCCCCAAGTCATTGTCACCTGATTGGTTTATTTTTTTTTCCAGCAGATCCCAGAGAAGATGGAACTTACCCCAGGGGAACATCAGCTTCTCGACCACATCGTAGCAGCACACCAGAAATACACAATTCCCCTCGAGGAAGCCAAGAAGTTTGTAGGTATCCAGCACACTCAGCCTGCATTGCTAAGTTATTGCTGTCCCCAGCACTGTGCCTGGGTTATACCCAATGTCCAAATGCCCTTTCATGCAGCTACAAGAAACTGCGAGTGCCGAGGAGAGTTTTCTCCGGCTCTCTGAGACAGCCGTTGTCCACGTCCAAGTGTTAGTGGACTTCACAAAGAGACTTCCAGGTAAGTTCCTACCTTTGGGGAAATATTACAGAAACCGTACTGATGGTGTGAATCCCCCAAAAATACAGGCTTGAAGGAAAAAAAAAAAACGCTTTCAACTGATTATTTTTTATTTCCAACTTACCATTTACTTGTCGTGAGGACAAACTTAGAAGCTTTCACTTGAAAACCTTGCTATGATTTGGTTTCTTTTCCATTTCTGACGTGGAGTGGAGACATTTGCTGGAAGCACGTGGGCCTCAAAATACCATCTTGAGTGGATTGCATATTCCCTGAAATCCAGTTTTGCAATATATCATAATCATCAAAATAAAAACCAGATGTTCCTTCAAAGGAAAAGGCAGCACAGAAGGGACTGACCAGGTGCTCCTATTCACATTTTCCTTCGATAAGGAACAAGGGAACACGCAATTAAATCCACTGCATTTCAACGGAAAGCTGGCAAAAATGACATTTGACAGGGAGGGTGGTAATTTTTTCGTTGTAAAACTTGCTGACAAAAGTCAATCACCAAGTCTAAGGTAGATATTTGATGTAATTTAGCACCACTGAGAAAGAGTTGAATGGGTGAGCTCTTTGTTTTCATGGTGTTACATATCCTGCTTTGATCAGGATTAAGAAAAAACCTCTGAAGGTCCTTTGCTGTTGAACTGTAAGTGCAGATAATAAGCTTGTCAAAGGATGAACACAAATTTTAAAAAGATAATAATGTACCAATGAGTAAGGGGGATACCCAGTCACAAAGCAATGCAGCAGATTTATCAGGTGCTAAGCCATGTGATATATACCAGAAATAAGGAAGAAATTTTGGATAAAGTCTTGCTTAGTCCCAAAATTTTCACTTCTATCTTCCAGTGAATCTTCTAAAACTGGACACTAAAACTACCCCCTCCTTTTTTTTTTTTTTTATTTTTTTATTTTTAATCATCTAAAGCAGGAAAGATCCCAACAGTCCTTGGTACATGCATCACTTAACTATGGCTCCTCCTTTCTAGTAAAGGCATTTATTAATTAAAAAATCATTTTATCACCTCATGTTAGGGGCTTAAAGGCAGCCCCAGCTTTCCCTGATTCTGAACATGTCCCTTTCTCTGCAGGATTTGAAAGTTTAGCCAGTGAGGACCAGATTGCACTGCTGAAAGGGTCAACAGTTGAGGCAATGTTCCTGCTATCAGCCCAAATATACAACCAGAGAATGAGCGAGTGCCAGCCATCAACAAGTGAGAGTAAGTTTGATTAAGGACCTTTTCACTCACACCAGTAGAAGGTTCTGCCAGTTTTAAAAAACCACTTCCATTCATTTTAATTCATTTGATCTCATATAATTACCTCCCCAAGCAGAGCGGTACTTAGAATAGTATCATTAATGACAATGTACCTTTTAAAGGCTTTTTATTCAAGGCACACAGTTTATATTTTTAATAGCTAAATGAACAGATTTCTGGTTTTCTCCCATTAGTTCTAAACAAAAGCAACAATTTTGAGTGTTTGCATAAATTGTGGGGTGGATGGCTAATATTAGCTGTATTACTGACTAATTATACACTGTGTCAAGTTTAACACAAGAGACTTTGACCACCAATCATGCAACCAATGAACATTTCTTTTATACCTACCTGGATCTGGGAAAAATTCCCACATTTTCAGCTGTATATCTGCAGAGCAGATACACACATATATTTAAAGGCAGTTCAAGCTTGGCTGGAAAGTGTCATCTGTCTTGTTCCAGGTCATGCAAGACTTTCTGATCACGGGACGTGTTGCCACGTTCAAAGCCTTGATAGGAACAACATTTACTCCATGGAAATGTCTCACAACGAAGAGAGTCCAACTTCCACTACTACCACAGGTAATGGAAGTAGAATCTAAATACTGGGAATCTCAGAATCTAAATACTGGGAATCTTTTGCTTTGCTGGCCACCGGGCTCCCTCTTCCTTGAGCTGCTCTGGTCACACACACAGGCATTAAATCCTCATAGGAAGAGGTGGTGTTTGATTATATCCCAGGATAAAGCCTTGAGCCATACATAAACCCAAAGCTCCACAGCACAACCCTAACACAACTTTCGTGATTGGTTTGGAATTCTCTTCTCCATCTTTAAGGCCTAACGGAGGAGTTCATCACCGCCCTGTTCTACTTCTACCGAAGCATGGGGGAACTCAAAGTCACCGAGACCGAGTACGCTCTGCTGGTAGCAACCACCGTGTTCTTTTCAGGTAGGCTGGGGAGGTGACAACAAGCTGCCACTTGCCCCCCCCTTCAGGGGAATTGTCACCCCCTCGGGGGAGCAGCCACTTACCCGGGGAAACTGTCACTTAACCCCCTCAGGGGAGGTGTCACTTAACCCCTCAGGGGAGATGTCATTAACCCCCTCAGGGGAGATGTCATTAACCCCCTCAGGGGAGATGCCATTAACCCCCTCAGGGGAGGTGTCATTAACCCCTCAGGGGAGGTGTCACTTATCCCCTCACAGGGGAGGTGTCACTTAACCCCTCAGGGGAGATGTCACTTAATCCCCTCACAGGGGAGGTGTCACTTACCCCCTCAGGGAGGTGTCCCGTCATAGGAGGTGCCACTTCCCCCTCAAAGGAGCTGTCACTTACACCCTCAGGGAAGGTGTCACTTACCCCGGGGGAGCTGTCACTTTCCCCCCGTGGGAGCCGCCACTTGCCCCCTCAGGGGAGCTGTCATTGCCCCCTCAGCGGGGGTGCCACTTGCCCCCCAGGCTCCCCCTCACGCCGCGCTCTCTCCCCGCCGCTCTCCCGCAGACCGCCCGCTCCTGAGGGACAAGCGCCACGTGGAGGAGCTGCAGGAGCCGCTGCTGTGGATCCTGTACAAGCACTCGAAGCTGCAGCACCCGCGGGACCCGCAGCGCTTCGCGCGGCTCCTGGGGCGCCTCACGGAGCTGCGCTCGCTCCGCCACGCCCACGCGGGGGCGCTGCGCGCGCGGGACCCGCGCCTGGCCGCGCCCCTGCGCGACCTCTGGGACCTCCACTAGGCGGCGCCAACACGCGCCCCCACGCGCGCCGCCCCTGAGGGGCCGGCCGTGCCCGCGGAGCTCTCGGGGCCGCGCTCCGGGGTCGCGGGGGGAAGAAAACACGTTTAAATTGCCCTGAGCGCCGGGGGAGGTGCCCGCGGTCAAGCCCCAGGCGAGCGCTGGGCCCCCCGGGGGTGTGTGAGGTGGATGGCGCGACCGCCCGGCTCGGGCAGGGCTGCTCTGGAGGTGGGCGGGGGGGAGCGAGGGGACCCTTCCAGTGGGACACGGGGACAGTCCCCAAGAACCAACCACACACAGTGTCCTGTCCCTGGAAGGGTTCAAGGACAGGCTGGACGGGGCTTGGAGCAACCTGGGACAGTGGGAGGTGTCCCTGCCCATGGCAGGGGGCGGAACGAGATGATATTCAAGGTCCCTTCCAACCAAAACCTTTCTGGGATTCTACACTGGCGTGAAAGCCCCTGCTCTGAGCTCCTTTCTCTGCACTCTGCCAAGATCGGTGCTGGGGGGAACACCTTCCGTTTTCGTTTCAAAGACTTTTGCTGTTATTCTCTTATCAGGACTGAAGGGAATCGTCTTCCTGAGCGCCTGCTCTGTGTTGTAACTGTGATAAATCACTGTGATTTATCACCCGTGATAAATCCACGTCGGACGTGGGTAATTCAGCACAGTGAGCAGTGCCCCACTTGGCTGCCCACACTGGCATTGATGTCTTGCTCTCTCACCAGATCAAATGTGCCGTGAAAATGTTCTGTCATCACACCGAGCTATGGGAATTCAACAAGTTATTTTTTCAGTTCGAGGCTCCTTGTGAAATATGTTTGGATTCATGTGTGATGTTCTGACAGGAGATGAGTTATGCTATTTACAAGATGAACTTCTGTGACTTAAAAACCTTGTAAAATGACATTTTCATGTTAAAACATGATTGGATGTGGTTTAGAACAGCCCTTGGGAGTAAAGAAAAAAAAATCAGCTACTGGACTTTAAAGAAGTAATTTTGCTCACTCAGTCCCTTTCCATGCACCTGTGCACAAACAGACAACAGCTGATGGGTTCTTGGCATCAAAAGCTTTCACTTTGGCCACAGTCCAAAAAGCAAACTACAAAAAACCAAGAGTTTGATAACCCACTGTGAAGTAAGAAGCAAGTAAGAGAGTTCCAAACCCATTGCCAATACCTTGGGCTTTGAAAACTTTAAGCAGTTGATTTATTAATAAAAAAAAATGCTATTTTCACATTAGCTGTACTCTTTTTTTTTTTTTTTTTCCTTCTGGATTTTATAATCCTTCTTTACCAGTCTACCATAAAGTAAATTGTGCGGGGGGTTAACAGATTTCCAGATGGTGATTTTAATTTGCCACTAGGTACCCCAAACTGTGGTGAAATCACTGATTCAGGTAAGACTCAAATAAACAATCACCTTGCACATTCTTTTAAATTTTTTTAAAATATTTTGACAACTTGAGGTAAACTCATGTTTTGTATCTTACTTAAATAGGAATTTTTAGTTGGAATCTGAGAGTGGCCTGGGGCTGTCACACCTGGGGCATTCACCTTTAGCATTCCTGGGTTGGTATCATCATCATTCCTTGTCCATAATATTGCAGAAAGCTTCTGGCTTGTCTTTGGTGGTGGTGGTTTGTTGGTTGGTTGGGGTTTGTTTTGTTTGTTTGGAGTTTTTTTGTTTAACTTTGCCCTCAGCGTGGTGATTGTATATCTCAGGCTAACAGAAATATCCAGCACTTTCCAAAGAAATGAAACGGAATCCAAAGAGCTCTATTGTCCGAGCCAAACAGCAAATAGGATTATGGAGTATTTTCAGACCAGAAATGGAGATGCCTGGCATATGATATGCAATGAAGAGATTTGCTGTTTTAATCTGTGGTTGATAGGAAATGCTGCAGCTAATCCTAGGAAAGAAAGAGAAGAGCAGTCGCCTGTGAATCCATAAATTTTCAGAGATTGGAGCTGTGTTTCAGGCTGTTACAGGGACTTGAAACAGAAAGATTAGCTTTGAAAATTCAGCAGCCACGGGCTGTTTAAATGCAAAATCTGGCAAAACCACTTGTTTCTATGGCAGCATATCAGGATCTTATTTCCTTTTATCAGTGGAGGGTTGCAACAGGACGGGGTTGGAAATAATTCCTCTACCAGAATACTCACCTTTCAACAATCTGATTGGTTTTGTCTGGTTTCCATCAGCTTCCAGTTCTCAGTTGTTTGCAAGTTTGGACATATATTTGTTTTATCATTCTCAGTTCTATATGTCATAGGAACAAGAGTGACCCTGCTGTCATGAGAAGGCTGCTCATGAGACCAGGAAGTTTTCATGGTGTTGTGCTACTACCAGGGGCAGAGTGAGTAGGAATAATGTGTGATAACTTCTCCTTGTTCCTGCTTTTATCTTAGGCACTGGTCAGGGACAGGGAATCCTATTAACCTGCTGTCACATATGAGCTTTTGGTATGCACTGAATTTCTGGAGCCCATTACAGAGACTCCTGGGGAATGAACCCAGGATTTTTATAATTACCAAATTCCATTTACAGGTATCACTTGAAACACTTCCTGCAGAACATCAGCACACCGTCTTTCACTTAATGAAAGTGTAAAATCCCTGATGTCAGTGAATGGATTGGTTTAGCAAACAGAAAGGTTAAAGATAAATAATTAACAGTGTGGCTGGCTGTTCCAGAACAGGGCTGCAAAGCTGATGGCTATAAAAACACATCAAAAATTTCTATCACTGTGTATCTGCAGGTCAGCAGGAGGGCAGTGGAAGAAACGGATCCATAAGCATCAGACTTGTAATGATGGATTTTGGGAAACTGTATGGAAGAAGCCTCGGGCAGTCACAGATTGGGACACTGGACTGTGTTGTCCTGCCAGTCTTTTGTCTTGCTGCTCCCTGGAGGCTGTGGGATCTCACTCCCAGAGGTGTGAGAACTCCCAGTTCAGAGAGGTCAGTAGTGAATGAGCTCCACGGTCACAGCCAGGACGATCCAGGAGGTTGTTTTGACACGTTAATAGTTTGTGTAGGGCACTGAAGGTGTGTGGGTGTCACCCTGGTGCTCTCCAGTGCCTCTCTGACAGATGGTGCCAGCAAGGAAGAGGCAGCACCAGGAGATTCTGTGCCCATATGAGCGTGGAGCTGAGCTGAGTGTGAGGGGCAGCACTCACATTAGTGCCAAGGTCCACTCAGACTAATTTACTGCCCTTCCAGATAAATGAATTTTCACTCTTTTGGTCAAGTATTTCTGTAGTGCACTGAGGTGCATTCAGAGGCTGGGTAAAAACATTGCAGGGAGTAAAGGCACTGCTGAGATTGTGCTGCTCCAGGGGCTGATAATTCCCAACATTCAGCATCCACCAGGCTGGGCTCTGCCTGACAGCTCTAAACCTTCCTGACAGGAGGGCTCTGGACAGATGGAACCAAGGACATTATATCTCTGTAATTGCTTTAACAACCAAATTTTTAATCACTGCAAAGAATGAAATTGGGTTTTTGTGGCATGACCTATTTTATGTAACATCATCTTGACGGTCATTAGATACATTCTCATCTGTTAATTCTTTGTTGCTCAAATCCTGTATCAACTTTCTGTTATTTTACCTGGCTGGTGGCGAGTTACCTGGGTCAACACTCTCTCCTTAAACACTGCCATAATATTAGCACTTTTTTTAAAATGTTTTGATATTTCCTCAGTGTTCCAGACCTGTTGAAATCAGCATTAGCCAGCTAATCATGCTGAGTTTAAAATATTCCTTATATGATTTATTTAATAACCTTTGTTGCAAATCTCTGAGTTGGTTGTTCAGCCACTATTTTTTCAAATGAACAAGTACTTGCTGAAGCTTTTGCATTTACTCTGCATCAACAGCTTGTCTTCATCTCACAATGTCCCTGGACTTTACTGTTGAAGTTTATTTCCTACTCTCCAGCTTCCTGTGCAAGTTTCCTACATTTTCTCACTTCCAGCAGTGATTGTTGGTGGTTTTCCTCTTTTTTCTTGCTGTAGTTTTGATTGTTGCACTCTCTTTTTCATCTTCACTGTGGGACACTTTCAAGCATTGTTCTAATTTGCTGCTGATGTTTGCAGACATTTCCCTAAACCTTGTTAAAGCGAATTCTTAAACCCTTTTTACCCTAATCTCAATCCCACCCTCCTTGCACCCCATTTTTCTCAAATCTGAGAAACTAGCACTTTGAGGAAGCAAAGAATATATATCTTCACACTCTGACCTGTTCTCTGCCTCTCTTCTTGTAGGCTGTGTTGAGACTTCAAGCTCAGGTGTGGGGATCTCCCTGTCAGGTCCAGGTTACACAAATCCAGCTCCAACTGCCCAGAACTGTGAATTCTTTAGAGGGAAGAAGCAGCTGTGAGTGCAAGGGTCACATGTGATACCCTTGCTTTAAGAGTGCTACTTTTTAATTCTTATTTTGAGCACTTTTTGTCCTCTCTAGGATTTAATTTTATGCTCCAAGCCCCATCCAGCCTGGCCTTGAACACTTCCAGGGATCCAGAGGCAGCCACAGCTTCTCTCTGGGCAACCTGTGCCATCATCTCCCAGCTGTGCCTGCCCTGTAATCAGCAAACAGAGTGAACCAGACCTCATTAAACTTTAGCAAAACACAGGTGTAAAATTCATCATCTGTGATTCAGGAGGAATCCATTTCCATGCCAGCCTTCCTGCCATGATATTGCTGTCCTATGCAGAGATTAAATTAATCAATAATAGCCACTTGTTTTGGTTTTTTTTTTTTTTAAAGCAGTGGTTAGTTTAAAAGCCCGAGGAGGGGATGACTGTTAAAATAATTAGATTTCCAGCTCCAGTTTCCAGGTTAGGATTTTCTGGACACGTTTGTTCCTGTCACATTTGCTTCGTGGTTCAGAATGAATTTTCAGTAGATGACTTTGTGATAAGAAAGCAGCAATTCAGATGCAATTATATAAACAGTAAGATCAGCCTGGAATTAGGCTGGAGGTATAAAGCACACGCAGAGCTTGTGCTGGGTCACTGCCTCTCCCAGCTCAAGGCAGAGTCAGGTTTCTGTAATAGGGAAGAATTCCGCTGACAAGAGGTTGTTCTTTCCAGACTTGCACTGTGGCAGCTCCAGGGTAAAGGAGACTGGGAAATGAATGGCTTTTCTATGGGAAACTGGCAGCTGGAAGAGACTGGAGGGTGATGGCCAGATGTTGGTAGACACTGTCATTTAAATTTTGTCATCTAGAGACTCTAGAGTAGCTCCTGGAATTGTCTTGGAGCTAATCAAGGCTTTGTTCTCGGGATCCCCCAGCAGGTCTGAGAAATGAGGTTGGCACAGCAGACAGATAAAGTGGGATCCGTGGAGTTGAACTCTTTGCTGATGTTTTTTATTGTAATTTGCTTGAATCTGTTTTTAATTCTTGGCAGTGTTCCCATTTCATCACTCCTCTAAGCCAACTGGAAATTGAAAAATCCAGTTTTATGCCTGATATGCACTGTTGTGTCTTTTTCTCTCTTGAACATTTTAAATGGTGCTTCTCTTAGGAAATTGTTTCTAAACCAGTGAGATTATTTTAATACTTTGGGTTAATTCTAGAGCTCATGTTCTCTAGCATGTCACATTTTCAAATCCTTCATCTCCTGTTACTTTTAATTTGTCACCATTTTATCACTCATTAGTGAGAAGTTCCATGTAATATGCTTTAGTGGGGGGAAGTTGAATTTGTTTTGTTTTTAATGGCCTGTTTACCCTTGTTTTGTTTTTAGCAGTTGGTACTACTTCAGTTAAAGGTCTGAGATTGGAAAGAAGTTGTCAGGCTGTAACTAAAAAAATTAAGATTAATCCTAACCTGTGACTGTCCTGACTGCTCCTTTTGAATCCAAGGAAAGGGCTGGGAGGAGTTTTACTCCCATTTTACTCGGGGTTTGCTTTGTTTGTTTGTTCTTCCCCATCTAGCATGAGGCCCTTCTTTGTGATGTCTCTCCTCTTTGGCCTGACTTTTGGACAAACAGCATCACTTTGTGCTCCTTCTGAGTACACAATCCACGTGGAAAAACAGGAATGTGCCTATTGCCTGGCCATCAACACCACCATCTGCGCCGGATTCTGCATGACTCGGGTACGAGGCGTTGCTCTGCTATTTCTGTAACACCACTGCAAACCAGGTGCCTGTTCTCCCAGCAAACAGTGTGTAAATGGTCGAATTCTGAAAACTTCGCCACCATCACGTTTCCAAGTCAGGTTTTGGCAAAGGTGTGGATGAGAAATGCCAAGCCTCTGAAACTATGGAGTTGGTAACAGCAGTGGCACAGCACAGACCTGGCTGCTGCTGCCACTGCAGAGCCTCTGGGGGCAGTTTGTGGGGGCAGGATGCAAGAAGTGAGGAGCAGATTATATTTGCTCAGTCTTAATTAATGTAAATGACTTAGGTGGCTTCTCCTCCTGCTGCTGCTGTCCCAGCTGGCTGTGGGGACAGCTCTCCAGCAGCCACACCACACACTGTGCTTGAGCTTCGCTGCTCAACACAGCACCTAAAGCTTCCTTCCAGCAGGGAGCCAGCACAGATCCCAAAGCACTGGGAGCACTCTGAGCCCAGCGGATTAATTAAACCACGAGAACAAGGTGAATGCATCTACGTGTGGAGAGAGCCCCGGTCACAAACAGGTTCAGAATTACAGCTCTGAACACAGTAATGCCAGAGCCTGGCTAAGCACAAGAGCTTTGATCTCTGCACTTCCCAGGAAGTTTTCTGACGCGCAGATGCTTCCCTTCAACAACACATTTCCTCTTTTCTTTGTAGGACAGCAATGGCAAGAAGCTGCTCCTCAAAAGTGCCCTGTCCCAGAACGTGTGCACGTACAAGGAGATGTTGTACCAGACGGCGCTGATTCCCGGCTGCCCTCACCACACCGTCCCCTACTACTCCTACCCCGTGGCTTTGAGCTGCAAGTGTGGGAAGTGCAACACTGACTACAGTGACTGTGTCCGTGAGAGGGTCAGGACCAACTACTGCACGAAGCCACAGAAGTTCTGCACCGTGTGAAGCTTCCAGAGCAGCGTGGTGGGGGGGGGGGATGCACTCGCTCTGCCCACGGCTGAACAGAAATAAAAGCCTCTTTCGTTGTTAGGTTTGCAAACTGGTTTGTGCAGAGATTCCTTCTGAAAGTGTATCAATCACTGCCTGTTTTAATTAACTGGATGTTCTGTCACCGGCTTAAAAGAATCACAGGGCTGCAGGTTTGTGTTTTTAACCCACCCCAAATTTACCCTGGGGAAGAAGAAGGCGTGGCTTTGTGGTGTGTAAACCTGTGCTTATAAATCCCAGGTGTTTTATGAAGAGATGCTCAGAGAGCTGATGTACTGACATATTTTGGAGTTTGATACTGATATATTTTGGAGTTCGATATTGATATATTTTGGAGTTCATATCTTTCATTTGTTATGTTTTGGAGTTAAAAAAAAGGCAACACATGCCCTTGGTATTGAACATTTTAATCAGATTTTGACATACACTTGCAGCCTTCAAATTAGCAATGGTATTTTTTCCATCTCTGTAATATTAGTGGTTTTTTTAGGCCTGTAGCTTCAGTGTTGTCAGCTGGGACTAAGCACATATAGTTTGTTTATTCACATTGTAGATCCTTCCTGCTGTTTTCCACACGTGTTTATTGGGAATGCTTCTCCGTGTCTCTGCACTAGTGGCATAACCCTCCCTTTCCTGCTGAAATACACTGCTTGAAAAACCTGTCTCCGTGAGCACTGAAGAATCACTGAAGCTTCAAACCTTACTCCAGAAGGGGAGTGGGATGCCCTCAAACTTAAAGAAAAATTCAGGAAAAAACTTCTTCTTCCACACACAGGGCAGCTGGTCCCTTGGGAGTGGGGAGGTGAGCTGAGCCCACCCTGAGTGCTGAACACGCACAGGTGAGAGGTGCAGAGCCAGGAATGAAGAAATAAATGTAAACTAACAACTGCTCCCTTTCCCCTGACGTTGTGGTTCCCAGGAAATTAGATATTCCATTCACCCTTTGGTTGGAATAGTAAATAAAGGAAGCGAAATTCACAGGCTACGAATACGAAATTTGATTTCCTTAGGAAAATCTTGCTTTGAGTATTGCAGCTTTTGTGAATGTTCCTGGATGCTCCACTCTAGACACCTTCATTTTATTTCATCTGCAGCAAAGCCTCCAAGAAAGCCCAGGAGAACCTGCTGGGTGACCCCCTGGAGCTGGGGGTTGGACCAGATGAGCTGCTGAGGTTCCTCCCAACCTCTAAGAGTCTGTGATGAAAAACATCATGTGTATAACTGGTGATAAAGAAATGCCTTCACAGCCAAGAGTTGAAAATTTAAACTCTCCAAACCCACGTTTAAAATTAACAGAAAATCCAGAGGATTTACAGGAGCAGTGGGAGGATTGATCCTTAGCACGTACAATTTAAACAACCCAGTTATGGTTAGATTTGTATGAGACTATTTCTACAGCTGTTTGAGCAGGAAATATTACTTACAATCAAGTTACAAATAATTTCTAATGGTGAGAAGTCTGGTAGTCCCAGCCCCAACACATCTAAGAGCTACCAAGCTCTCAGCAAAGAGCTGCAACATGAACTGCTGCTCTCTAGTTGGTGAAGGGCACAGGTAATGTCAGGGGAAAATTGGGAAATAGGTATTTATGGAATAAATCAGCCATCATGTCAGCTGGTAAATGGCAAAGAAACAAACTGTTCAGCTTCAACATCAGCCTGAGCCTTCTCGAGGTTAAAAGGGGTGTTTCAGCACAGGGAATTTTGAGTCTGTTTACCCCTGAGGGGGCAGCCCCCGGTCATGGACCTGTCTTGAAGGGACACCTGTTCCACCTTGGTTCAGCCTGGAGAAGGTTTCGGAAAAAAAAAAAGGAAACTTACAAGAAAGACAGGGCAAAATTATTCACAAGAGCAGGTAGTGACACGACAAGAAGGAATGGCTCCACACTGAAAGAGGGCAGGTTTAGGATACTGGGAATGAATCCTTCCTGTGAGGGTGGGCAGGCCCTGGCACAGGTTGCCCAGAGAAGCTGTGGCTGCTCCATCCCTGGGAGTGTCCAAGGCCGGGTTGGACGGGGCTTGGAGCACCCTGGGCTGGTGGAAGGTGTCCCTGCCCGTGGCAGGGGTGGCACTGGATGATCCCAAGGGTCGCTTCCCACCCAAACCATTCCAGGGCCCCCTGAAACGGCCCCGCCCTCGGCGGTCGCAGCCAATGGGGAGCGAGCACTGCCCGCGGTGGGCGGGGCCTCCGCGGCACGCGGGACCCTAAGGGGAGTCCCGGCGGTGCCGCCGGTTCGGATCCCGCCGTGCCCTGTCCCGATCCCGATCCCGATCCCAATCCCAATCCCAATCCCCGGCCCGGCGTCCAGCCCGTCTCTCTTGCCGAGAGCTGCTCCGTTCCCTGCAGCCCGCCCGATCCCCCCTGGATGCCTCACCCTGAGGCGGGAGGTGCTGCGGGGGCTCTGACGGCGCGCACCGAGTTCTCTCCGGGAGCCGCTTATTCCAGGTTATTTTTATTAGGAAGTCGTTTCAAGTTCAAGACACAAAGCCGACAAAACGCCACTTCGGAACACATCGTAGGGAAGCGAAAGCTAATTTCAGCCACAGAGTGAGTTTGTTTTCTCTCTCAAAAGCAAGAAGCCGTAGAGGTAATTCTGCCGCAGACTTTGCAGCACGAACCGAAAAACGCCAGTTCTGTCCGAAACCACAATTTGTGCAGTAAAAACACACACACGTTATCCTGGAAGTGGTTTGTGTTTCGGAAAACCTCGTGGCTGGAGCACCAGTAGAGAGGAAGAAGATTGAAAAGCTTTATTTACGCACATTTTCTCTGAACAGCTGTTAATCCGCGGCCTCCAAAGGCTGTCCAGCACAGCGTCTGAAGGCTCAAGATAACTCAAGTTCTTTTTCAAGACACACGAAATATGTTTTGTTATAAAACTATCAGTATCGAGACAAGTGAAAGGTGACTCATCATGGTAGGGATGTCACAGGGCTGAGTTTCATCAGCCCCTGCGTGGTCTCTGCAAGGTACCAAAACTGGCTGAGCTTTCCTGGGACAAATGAAGCTCCCACTGAAGTCAGTTACTTAGAAAAATTAGGCGAGGGAAACGTGAATAGGGGTGTTTAGAGACATAATAAGGGCATCGACAATTTACATCTTTAGGCTTTAGAACAAACTGTTTGACTGAGGCGAAGAAGAAAAGCTGTGTGATGTGCTTTCAGAATTATCACCCGGAGGGATCTGATCTTTTGTCTTTCCTCTGAAAGGGGTGCAAGGGACAGGACTAAATGGGTATTTCTGCTGCCTTAGGTGGCAGGTACTGGTGCAGGGAAAGAACAGCTGGGTTTGATGTCTCTTGATGAGTTAAAAAGACCTTCAGTTACTAAAATGCAGAGAAAACTGCTATTATATCAAGCACCTCACAACAGCAGGAAACAACAAAAGACCTTTATCCCTGGATTCTATTAAAGGCACTAGGATATGAACAACATGTTGATTTCCAGCTTCATTTATACCAATAACTTAGAGAACTAGACCAGTAACAGGCAATATTCTGTTCCTGGTATGCAGTGCAAGTATCCCCTAGACCTAAATAGCAGTAACCCTTGAGCAGTAACGCTCAGCAAAATAAACACACTCCTCAGAGGAATCAAAAAACAAACCACAAACCCAAAACACTTCAGCAGAAAGTTCGGTGGTTCGAGTCTGAATTTATAGAAGGGCTTTTTGTACCACTTTTCCCTGTTTTCCTAAGGCACTGAGATGGTTTTGTACTTCTGGGGGAGTGAGGGTGGGGTTGCTGGGGAAGCAACAGCAGGTTCTGCAAGCTGCCTTGGTATTCAGTGCATCTCAAAGCAGGAGTGGGCATCTTCCAACTTAAGAAACAATAAAGGAGAGAAACTCTGGTGCTATCATTACATTCTGGTGCTGCAAATTATCTATGTAGATGTGTTTAAAATAAATAAAATACTGTCATTATGAGGGGGAGTGAGAAGGAAATCTCTTTATTTCCAGTCAGTTTCTATCCCTGAAGGGCAATAATCTTGGAACCTGAACCACTGGCTACAGTGCTGTTGGCATGGTGCTCTTTTTACTGCTTTTCCTGGAAAGCTGGCTTGCTCTGAGTGGCAAAAATGATACTCTACACAGGTTTCTTCTTTCTGTCAGTATTACCTTGGGAGAACACACCCCAGAGCAGAACCAAAGCCCCAGGTGTACCTGGGAGCCAGGAAATCACTTTGTTGGCTGATTTGGAAAAACTGATTTCCGAGTTTCAGCTGAGACCCTCGTGGATTTGCTGCCACTGTCATTCTCCCAGCTGGGCCTTTCTTAGGAGCAGGGTCCTGTTTCCTGGTCTGCTACTTCCAGAGGAAGATCCCAGGCCCAGTTTTTAACTGGCATCCAGTGACAGAGTGACCCAAGCCTGACTTTCTCCTGGTGTGTGATTTAATGTCTCCCTGCTCAGTTGGCAGTGCCACCACTTATGGAAAAGACAGCAAAGATGTGTCAATTTAACCTGCTGCTTGGAGCAGCAGCACTTATTTCCATTCCTGAAGTGACAGAAAGGTGATGGGAGTTTGGGTTTCTTTTGGAAACACGAGATAAATATAAAGATAAATATAAAGGGGGTATATTCCACACAAACACTTGCACTGGAATGCACATATTTCCTGAAATCCCACTTCATTCCACTGTGTTTCAGTGAAATAAAGACCCCCATGGCTTGTAAATGCTCTTACTCATCAGAATGCTCCATGATGTGTAGTTTAACAGAACTTCTCCCAGTTGTGTGTGGAACAACTGCATCAGAAATCTGAACTAGTGATCACCAGAGAGACAGAGCTGCTATGGGGATATTGTTAGCAAAAAGCTGTTCTCTGAAATGGTGAATTATCTCAAGTGAGCCAAAAATTAAGAAATTCTGAGCCTTGGCTGTAATTTATTTTCCCCTTCTCGAGACAACCTTCCTCCCTCCTAGTCTGGTTCAAAAGGAACATTCTCTTCTGAATAAATATGACAAATAGAAAAATAAAAATATAGAAGCAAACTATGTAAACGCAAGCCCTGAGGTATTTCAAGCACACAGTGTCATTTTTATACCTGACATGCAATCTAAAGGTGCCAGTAAGAAACCTTACTTTGTGGCTCTGTAAAAACGTCCCATCTTTCTTTCCTGCTTTGCACCCACAAGAAAGGGTGAGAGGTTGAGGTAAAGAGCCCTGTGGAAGCTGTGATAGTCACAGAAGCAGAAATTGAGGATTTTAAAGTGCTGTGGGTCTTTTTCTGACCGTTTTCACTCTTTGTTTGGCTTCCACAGGCCAGTCAGATTCCAGAGAGATCTGACAAAGGGGCTGCTTGTCTGGATCTGGGCTCCACTCCTGCACCAGTTTGTAGCCACAGCGAGGCTTTTGGGACAAAGGGGCTGCTGAAGATGGATTTTAGTGGCCCCTTTAACTCACAGTTGGGTTTTTTTTGGTGTCTCTCAGGCTCCTTGGGAAGCTTAAGCACACTTTGCACTGCAATTGCTCCCAAATGACTGCCTTGCCTTGCCAGCTTCCCACCTCTTTCCCCCTCTTCCCTTAGCCTGGATCTCCTTGGACAGGTTTCCTCCCCCAGAGCTTTCTGCATTTGCATGAAGGGTCCAGTCCTAAAAACAAATAAATATCCAGTCTCTGCATGACAGTGAAGTCAGGGGGTCTACTCACATGAATTCAAGTTTGCTGGAGCAGGCCCTTAGGCATTAGTTATTTTTAAGTAAAGTCCAATTTTATTAATTCTACTCTCTTTGGGCTTTGGAAAGAACAGTTACAAAAGGGGTGGTAGGTCTTAACTTTTTACAGTGGCATTTGTTCCTCTGCTAATTCCTGTCAAACAAACAGGGGCTCAGTGTGAGAGGGTTCCAAGCACTGTGTCCCTGTGGGATGTGCAGATTCCTGCACAGGGAGACTCTGGATGCACACACAACATCTTCCCTTTGCACATACTTACCCAGACAAGGTACTGCACATCCAGGTACATATACATTTGTAAGGGCACAGATATGCATGTGCTTACACATGTGTAAACTCTTAATTGCACATATACAAACATTAAAAACCAAATTAGTCTTAGATGAACCTTTTGTGTTTTTTTTTTTTTCATTAAAAAGAACATTTTAAAACCCCCCCCCTTTTTTTTTTTTTTGTTCACTTCAGTTTTACTGTAACTAATACAATTCACCTGATCACCTAATGGGATGTTTTCCTCTCAGTATGTTAAAACACTGATTAAAATGCATTACAATTATTAAATTGGGTAGAAGAGCACTTCTTGTAAGCTTAGTCTGGAACTCCTGGGACCCAGCTGTGCAGTGAAAGTTTTAGATCATGTCTCGTGTGTTACGGATCACACAGCACAGAATCATGCTGAATATCATGCCAAAGATCTAGAAGAGAAGGGATGTGATTTAGGGATCCGCTCACAAAACAGTGATAAAACAATCTGCATATCAGAACAATCTGAAGGCTCACATGGCAGAGGAGTGGCTGCTCCCATCTGCAAACCCCAAAACATCAGGCAAGTAACCCGCAAGAGATTTCACTGATCCTCAAAGCCAAGATTTTATCTGCTCCTCGTGGTTTTACTGCTCTTTCTTCTAAATGTCAAGGCCACCAACACTGCCCCAAACGTTATTAACATAAATTTAACAGACTGAATAACAGTGGCTGTTGGTATTCTCCCCTTGTTGGTATTGCACCACAGGGTTCTGATTTGCAGGATGATTTTACGTGGAACATTATACAGGTTTGAGTGATTCCAGAGGGACCAGGTTCCTGGAGCTGGTGCTGAGCACTGCAGATGTGCTGGAAAACTCTTCCTGCTAAAGCCTGGTGAGCTCCAGCCTGAGCATCTGCTGCATCCCTGGGTCGGGGTGACACCTATTGGTCACAGCTCTGTCCTAGAAAACCTGATTATGAACTGTCCTGCAAATGGTAGGTACTCTCTATTCCTCATGAAAACTAAGGAATGGATCCTAAAGGATTTAAAGCATCAGTCTGTGGAGTTGTTTTGGGATAGATGAAATGCTGCTGTGGCCTTTTGCTTTTCAGCTTGGTTCATGTGCACTCCACATTCCTACTGTTACAAACAATTACAATAAGGTTACCACTGCTTTGGACCCTGTCTAAGGACACAGGGTACTGGGCTCAAGCAGAGGTTTGAAAACATGGATTTACTCACTGTGATGCCAGCAATTGCAATTCCAACAATTCCAACTAAATGCAGATTAGTATCAATTACATTCTGAATTTCAACCAGGCAGTTCTGTTAAAGAAAAAAAAGAAAGAAGAAAAAAAGAAATTTCTTTACTCCTAGAAAAAATTACATTCCAACCAACTCCATTAACTGTTCTCAAAGAATAACGATAAATATGAAAAAATATTGCAGTCACCATCCTAATTCCTGCACTTGAGCCTTGTGTTTTGTTGGACAATTTTCACAGCATATTCCCTTTTCTGGTGAGACATCTGTACCTCTTGCCTGTACAGGCTGACACAAGTGCTTTTCTTACACTCGGTTCTCCCTAAATTTAAACTCTTTTATATAACAGGCCAGGAAGGAATCTCATGCTGGAAATGGCAAGGTGGAAAAAAAAAGGAAGTTCTTCCTTTCTTTTAATTACAGAATGTCTCCAGTTTTTACTCACCAATTGGCATGAAAAAGGGCTTAGAACAACCAGGACAGAGGACACTTACCTTTGGCAGCTGGATATTCTCTGGACAGGGTAATGCCACTTGTTCCACGTTACCTTTCCCACAGCACTGGAGCTAAATGAGAGAGAGAGAGATGAAGAATCAAAGAAGGTGAAAAGCCACAGACTGTTTCATACTGAAAATCAGTTACTACTTTCAAACTGAAAGTGAGACAATAAATAAATAAAAAAAAAATAGAATGAATAGAGATCAAATAATTTTATTCTCTGTATTAACCAGTGCCTCTGGTAGAGTTCCAGCTGTGTGGGATGAAATTCTCAAGAATGAGTTTCAGTTGTCTGAGGCTGCAGCAAGCAGGCAAATTTGTATTTACAACAATGCCCAGAAGGGATTTTTATTACAGTATCTCATGACAAAGCAAACAAGTGGATTGGGGAGAAGCCGACCCGTGGCTTGCAAGGAAACAGGAGTTGTTAAAGGGAGAAAGCAGAAAGGTCAAGTATCACACACAGAATTATGGGCAATGCACAAAAGCTGCAGCAGAGAATGCTGGAATTTCATTTCTGACACAACATCGTGCTGGGTTTGGAGACGGTAATAAATCAGTGTTTCAGAGGGTTTGTTTTTCCTGTTTGCCTATCTCCCAGAAAATGCTTGGAATTCCTCTTTGGGTCAGAAATAACGGCTATGGGAGAAGGACAAAAGGGTCTGAGGTTGTGAAATGTTTGTTCTAAAGAACGTGGGAATTGCTGCAAGGAGCAACAAAGCTTGGGCTTGATCTCCGTGGGAGGCAGTGTAGATATAGGATGGACACAAATAGGATTGAGGAAGTCACAGGTTCCAACTCTGATCCAGACACTCACTTTTTGGGTGGCCTGAACTGTGTCACACATGTGCTTTTGGTTCTTTTCCTACTTGGTGCAGCCAGTGACAGCATCTGCCACATGGTGGGTCCTGGGACACAGGTCACTTTCTTCTCTGTGACAAATGCAGAGGATCCAGGAATTTCTCCTTCTCTCTGCATTTCTGAGTATTTTTCCTTGGATTTCAATACCCCAAAGGGCCATAATACTCATATCATCTGCACAACCAAGACCAGAAGCATCAGGGATTTCGAAGCCTGGCCGGTTGCACTTTTAAAAGTAGAGATCCAAAAACCAGAACTCTGGATCCAAAAAGAAAAAAAAACCTCAGGAAACTCTCAGGGTTGTGAGCTCTGGCTCCATTGTTCTATTCTTCCATACCTCAGTGGGAGGAATTCTGGGTTCTAGTGGGTGATGTGACAGTGGAGCAGTGGTGAGGTGACAAAGGTGAGTACTCACAGCCACGTGGTAGCGATAGATGGTACTGTTGACCTTCCCCCCTGGGTTTTTCATATAGTCATCATAAGCATCTTCGTAGATTTTCTGGGCTTCCTGTATTGCCTGCAGAAATCAGAGTTTCTAAGTGAGTAAGGCAAATCAGTCTTACCACCAGCCCAGAGCAAACTTCCAGCTCGTGTGATCAACCTCCAGGGCAGGAAATTGTACCTGAGAAATGGGTACAGGATTGGAAAGACAGGAGGTTTTGTGGCCTGGTGACATTCAGAGGGTCAGAATGTTCACAGGCTGTGTTCTGTGTTTTGGTTATACACTGTTCAGTAGAGAAGTTCAGTGCCTGAATTTGTTTGCCCTCTTTTTTTGGTGCTCCTTGTAGATGGGAGGTAGAATCACACCTACAGATTTTCTTTAATAGAGGGGGGCAGAAACTGCATCCTGTTCTGGACTTGTGACAACACAAGCTCTCATTGACTCCAGAAAAGAATGTCAGAGGGTCTTCCTGGGAAAAGTCTCCAGGGAAGTTTTCCTATGCTGTAGGTCAGTCAGCACTGGAATCCATAACTGCCCCATTAGCACATTAGAGGCTCTTTGCTACTTACCACTTTCTTGCCTAGAAAGGCAAATACTCCAGCAGTGATCTCAGCTGCAAATATCACCAGCAAGCAAGCAAAGAACTGTGGAGGAAGGAGAGAATCTCACGTGAATATCCCTTGTTCATGTGGGCTGCCAGTCAGCCCCTCGTCCTTGCCCAGACCAACACCCCACATTGAAGCAAAGCTGGGTCTGTACAAAGCTTTCCAAAGCTGGAAACAGGAAAAATGGCAAAGATGTGGCTCAGGTGGAGTTTCAGAGGAGACAAAAGGTAATTCCAGGGAATATATCACAAGGGACAAGCATGGGAACTCCTTCATGCATGGCAGCTCTGCAATGGCAGGGTGGTTAGAGAAGCTGGGTTAGCCAGTTAAGAGGACACAGGACCTGAAAGGTCTTGGACATGAAAGATATTTCCACTAATGACACATTAAATGCTTTGAATTATTACCCTGCTCATCCCACCAGGCCCTTGAAAGCTTTTACTCACTGCTCCAAGCAAGCACTGAGACTCCCGCGCTGCTCCACAGCACCCGAAAAATCCGACTGCAGACATGATGGCCCCTGCTCCCACCAACACGTAGAGTCCTGTGGGAAAACAGAGGCAGGCAAGAATTTAGGAAGGCTTCTCGTGCTCAGGTGGAACTTCTTGTGTTTTGCTTTATGGCCATTGCTCCTTGTCCTGCCAGTGAGCACCGCTGAGAAGAGTCCGGCACCGTCCTCTGACACCCCTTGGAGATATTTGTGTTGATTGAGGATATGATTAATGATTGATCATATCAACAGCCCCCAAACCTGTCCCATTCTTAATTGACTGGGGCTGGCAGTGTGCTGTACTGCCCTGCAGCTGTGGAACTTAAAGGAACAGGGGAGATGTCAGCATAGCCCCATACACAGTTAATATTTAGGATTCTGGCTACTGTTCAGGACCTGACAGGACTAAACTGTAAAGGTAAGGGGAATGGCATTCATCTCTGCCACCTGTAAAACTGCTGGAAATACATTCAACAGATGGTTTGGTATTTCTATGGGCTTTGTTTAGGACAAAAGGAAAGCAGAGCACAGAGTTTCCCTCGTGTCTTCCCAGCGAGGGGACAGGGAGCTGCTGGCTGTGTGCACTAGAGGGCACAGCAAGCCTTTGCTCCCAGCCTGGACTGTGGAAACTTTAATGAGAACCTTTAGCGTGCTCATTTACCAATTTAAACGTTATTTTAAATCTGACCCAGGGTTAGCAGAGCTGCTGGCATTTGCTGTTAGCAGGCCTTGTGTAAAACCCAGACCAGGAAGCCCTACAAGTGGCAGTTTGTAGTTGCTAGAAAAAAACGTAAAAATAATCAATATATAAGTGCAGAGCACCCAGCTATACAAACTTCTGCCTGCTGCCCATTCACTGCCACATCACTGTCCAGGCTCTCTGTGTCAGCCAGGTATCTATCCCAGTCATTGTGATCCTTCTCTTCCCCTCCATCCTTCTGTCCCAGCTGGCTAGAGATTCCTGCTGAGAAATAAATTCTGCTAAATAGCGATAAAACAATTACAATTAATGATTTAATTTTAACTGCTGACTGTGCTGGCAGTTCATGCTCTGTATTTTCTAGATTTTTAATATTCAGCAATTGTCTTTCTAGGACTGAGCTGATGCTTGTACACACATTCACAGCACTGATACACAAAGATATATAAATATGGCTCAGGAGAGAAAGGTCAGCCCTGGTGGAAGATGAATTGGAAAAGACAAAATAAAAGAACCCTCTCTCAGGTGCAGAACCTGCTGCTCAACTGCCAAACACCAACATTGCCATTTCCTCCGATCTCCATGGTGACAAACGCCGGGTAATTACAAAGATGTTTCCTGGACCTTTTCTCTCTGTCACTCCCTGTCCCCGTCCCTGTAATTACTTATCAGGCCACTCAGCAGAGCTATTTTCGAGTCAGGAGTCGGGAGAGGAGTCTCCCCATTTCTTTTTGTCGTTCCCTGCGAGGAGAGCAAAGGCTGAGCTCTGTGAGCCTGGGGGGGTGAGACCACTTTTAGGAGTTTGGATTTGCGTTTGTCGGAGGAGCAGCCTGAGCATTTCACTCGCATGAGTCACAACTGAACCGCTACCTCAATCAGAACTTCCCTTTTAAGGCGTGTTACAGGAAGAACTCACACCACTCACTAAACAAAGCTGAGCCCCACAGCTGAGCCAGCCGAGAGTTTAAAACCACCTTCTTCCATCTTCTTCTGCTGCTCAGGAGAGTTCAGCCCACTCTGTGCTTTCTCAGCACCAGTTGCTGATACTCAGAGAGGTATTTCTAGCTGGAAAATAGGGATGGCACTTCAAATTTCCACAAAAATAAAGATATTTTTTGCTTGTCTGCTATATATACACACACACATGTAATCTTTCACACAGGAATGAGACTTGTGATTTTGGGGTTGTCCTGTGGCCAGGAGTTGGACTCGATGATCCTTGTAGGTCCCTTTCCAACTCAGAATATTCTGTGATTCTGTGAGACACATGAAGAGTTGCTTGGGAAAAAAAAAATTCAAAGGGAATTCAAGTTATCTCTTAGTTTGCCTTAGGAGGTTTCCCAGCACCCACATTCAGGTATGGTCGATGGAAGATGACTTCCAGGGAGGGTGTCAAAGCAGTAGATGCAGAAACATCCTAGATGGTGTAAGTCTATGAGGCAGGGATGCAGTATTTCTTTTCCTAGTGGGCTGCACGCAGCAATGTAGGCATGATCACCTCAAATTCTGAATAAAAAGAGACCTAAACTCTTAAGTGAGAGAAAAAAGAGAGAGTAGAGAGAAAAGAGAAAGCCAAAGATGACAATTTCTGGCACACACCCCTTAGAACCACAGCCTGACCTAAAGCCATCATGCACTGAGAGCCATCCTCAGCCCACTCAGCCTCACCAATGCAAATCCAGAAATTTGGTGGTTTTAATGCTAAACATCCTTATCCAGGAGTATCATGTGGCAGCAGTAACTGAGCTTCACTAAAACCCATCCCTTTCCAAAAAGCAGGGTGGAAAGCAGAGCCTTAATCAGCCTCTATTCATAAGAACTTCCATTGTAAAACACAAAGCCTTGGCACGGCCTCCAGTTTGGCACCCACAGCACGGCAGGGAAACAAGAAAAGGCACAAAATGGAACACGTTGGAGAGCTGGAAATGCACACAGAACAGTTCACCACAGAGCTCAGCACGGCAGAAAAAGGTGTGTGAGTCAGGTCAAGGTTGAGAGCTTGTTTTGGTGGATGGAAAATGATGAGGAGACTGCCCAGCTGCAGCTTTTTGTGCAGCAGAAGGCAAAAAAACAAAACAAGGTAGAAAGGAAGCAAATGTATTTACAGCCTGGGTGAAATTTTTCCTCTCACTTCTTCTTGCCTCTGTTCATTTACTGTAATTTGGGCACTTTGATCTGTGTCTGCTCACGAAGAGCAGAGAGGGTTTGATGTGCCACTCCTCTCTGAGGTTGTTGGCAACACAGAACCCAAACAGGAGCAGAGAGCAGGAGAACTGGGAATACTGAGAGCAGGAGCACTCGATCCAGGAGGGCAAAGCTGGACCCAAGGACAGGGACCTGCCATCTGTGACTGCCCCCAGCTCAGCAATATCTATCACACCTCCATGCAGGACCCACAGACAAGTCACCCTCAACCCCTGAATGCAAAGGGATGAAGAGGCACATTCCAAAGGGTCAAATCCATTCACCAATCCAACAGAAAATTGGTTGCTCTGAGCTGACACAGCCGGGGCACCAATGACTGTGAGAGGTTCTGGAGGAAATAGGGGCTTCTTTGTAACCACAAGAGGATGAAGAACAAAGTGTCACAGGACTGGGGGTTTTTGGACAGAGCCTGTTCTCTTGACCTTTTTTTTGTGTGTGAGGAAATATTGAGGGTTTGGGGTGGTTGGTTTGTTTGTTTTGCTGTGCTAAGTCACCCCCACACACACACACACAGGGGTTTTTATAGCTGTGAAGGGAAATAAAGACTTCCACTTTTAGCAGTGAGTCAAGGGAGAGAACACCTGATAAAAAAACTGATTTCCCCTCTGGCTATAAAATAGTGAGTGTAAGGGGGGAAAGCCCCTTCTTCAGCCTTTGTTCTTTGCAAAGCCATTGTGTCATTTTGCAAAGGACACAGTTGGAAAGCAATAAAGCAGCAGCTTTTCTGTATATCTGATCTTTTGATTCATCCCATGGGGGAAATCATTATTTCCTGGAAGGAAATTGTCAAATGGGGGTATTCCCTGGGAAAATTCCAACAGGAGGGATTCCCATTTTCTAGCAGGCTCCGCTTTGCAGTTACAAGGGGAATTCAGAAGTTATCTGGCAATCTCAGAGCATCCTGTGGCTCCCAGCAGTGAAGAATGGCAAATCCACAGCCCAGCAGACATCTCTGGATTGGTATTTGTGCTCATGGCACAGAGTTCTTCCCTAAAATACTGTTTCCTCTGGATATGGGCAATATCCCTTCCGGGGCTGTACTTGGAGACAGTGGATCTGTGAGTGTGAAGAAGCACCCCAAGAAGGATTGAAGATATTCTGTGTGTTATTTCTGGATGAACAAAACCTCTGTGATTAGCAGTGATGCAAAATTCCCTCATTTCAGACCAGGTAGAAGAGAAGGATGGAACTTTATAACTGCTGACTGCAACGTGTCTTTATGTGTGTGCCAAGAGCCAGGGAAGGATCAGACAAGGCTGGTAGAGATCTAATTTCAGAGTCTGGAACAGAACCCACACCCAGAGCTGCTTTTTGTTTGTTTGTTTGTTTGTTTGTTTTTCCCCAAATCCTCCTGAAGCTTTTGAGACACAAATCCCTGCCCAGAACCTCCTGCAAAGAGCAGGAGCAGACAGACACACAGTGTCTCTGTCTGGCTTTATTTCACACGGGTTTCTTGTTTACCTGGCTGCTATGGTCACTTTCCATTTTAAATAATTCTCCCTTTTTTTTTTTTTTTTTTTTTTTTTTTTTTTGGCTGAGTAAATAACAGTGAACAAACCACCAACTGTTCATAATCCACTGAGAAAACAAGCAGCTCTGTTCTTGGGGTGAGGGGACCCAGAGGCAGCGATGGCAGGAGCCCGAGAGCCCGGATGGGACTTGAAGGGATTTTCCTGAGGTTGTGTATTCCTTCCAGTCCAGGGGGTAGATGTGCTCCTCCACTGAAGGACTGAGGCTCTCAAGCCCTCAGGAGAGCACCAAGGAACCTGTAGCACAGACACACTACTGGAAAATATGAGAAACACACGTAGGAGTTGGAAATAACTGGCCAGACAGGGACAGTTGTGTGTGTGTGGCACTTGGCAGAAAAGGCTGTTTCTGAAACAGGCTCGTTACTAGACATTTCCATTGTATATTTATCTATAAAATACATTTACAAAACTGGAGAAAAGCTGCAGAGGCCTCTGAAGGAAGATGGATTTCTGGAGAATTGGAACGTACCCTTCGTTTGAGCACAATGGACGTACAGGAATAAACGTCTTGTGTGAATTCAACGGGGATTTCGTGCTTAATCCTCCTGGAACCACAAAAGCATTACAGGCACCAGCCAGTTTGGAGGCTTTCTGCTGAGGCACAGATCCTGAATTTC